GCGGCTGCGGAGACGGTGGCGACCCAGACAATCCCACGTTCGGGAGCCGTAGACCCAGAGTTAAGTCGGGCCTGTCCCTCTAAAGGGGGGATATCATTCAAAAATTGTCAAGGGATAGTATGGGGACGATTTGACTATTTTGGACTATTTTGAACTTTTCATCCAAACTCCCCCTGCAGGGAGACATGCCTGACCGAGACCCAGAGATCCAACGTATTGAAAAAATCGAGACGGAGGTTTTGCTAAGTTTTCGGCCTCTGGGGCTCTCGCCGGGCCCCAGGACGGTTAAAAAACGACTCCAGATGAAAAAACATTTCTCGGGAATGGGTCGAGACTTCCGGGGAGCCCGTATCGAAAAGATCGCGACATCGGCTCTCTGCGGACCTCCAACTTTTTCCAACACGTCGAGGTTGCTCTTTTTTTGCTGGTCAGCGTTAGGGCATCTGGAAGCCGTGTGCGGACTGCGGGACCATACCAATACACGTGACTCCTTTGAGTCCCACGTTTTTCTCTCCGCAGCAGGCGACTGGTCGGGCGGGCTTCCGTTCGATAGCTTGCCGCGTCGGGTGTGCAACCATTCGATGAGGGAGCGTGGGAGAGTGCGAGCAGAGTAGCAAGGCAGAATCATATGCGCAGCATCTTGAAACATTGTGTACATTTTCTTCTGCTCCGATTACATACCGATTACGTTCTGGATGTTTTACCGCTTAGAACTCTCTCCCTCCGTCTTCGGCGCGAAGATTTTCGCGCTTCTTTTTTTCGGCGGAGATAACAGCGCTTCCTGACCAGGCCGGCTCCCCCCAAAGGAGGGTGCAACGCTGCTGCTGCGAAGCTGCGCCCCGGCAGCGAGGCCGATATTCGGCCGCTGCCTGGGTCTATCAAAGCGAAGAGCACCTGGAAGGACAGGCCCCAAAATACACGAAGGTCCCGGGAGCCCTGCGGGGAGACCTCCGTGCACCGGCCTGCCGCAGCGTCCCAGCTGTAGACTTGCACGCACGTCTTTGACGAGTCGCAGGCCCAGACACGTCTCACTGAGTGGAGTGGATGCTGCGGAGAGAGAGAGAGAGAGAGAGAGAGAGAAAGAGAGAGAGAGAGAGAAAGAAACCCTGCTGGCGCGACGCAGTGCGAAAACGCTGGCACAAGCCAGCCCTCGAGGGGCGCACTTTCTCCTTCCATCTTGAATACTAAGATTTGTTTTCAATGGTTTTCGGCATAATAACACGTGCTCAAACGCGCGCTGGAGGCGCGACGCCCCAGGAGCTCTCGACCCCGTCCTTGCCTGGGTCGTTTCTTCTTTTCCTGGGCTCTCGACCCCTTCTCGGGGTGTAGACGTCCGGAGACCTGTCGGGAGGGCTTCCTTTCGATCGGTTCTAGGACCCAGAGCACGTGAGTAGATACAGTGTAGCACGAGCTGAACTGCACGCGCTTTGGTTCTTGGCTCAAGACGCGAGCTGCGCACACGGATGGGGAAAAAAAGGTACTCGCCTTCCATCCCTTCAGTCGTTGCAAGTGTGATCGTCATGTCAGAAGATCAAGCAAGAACGACTCGGGATGAGAGGGCCGACGCTTCCAGAAGCCCTGCATGGAACAGATCCCGTGCGCTTTTCGGCACACCTGTCACACGCCCCGTGCCCCCAACAGGGTTCAAAATACGGCCCCGATGCGCGGAAGCGTATGTCGTTTCCCTCGTATATTTCGACACCTCCCACACACACACTCACATTTTTTACAAGCGCGAAGGGGGCCCTGTGGCGAAGAAGCAGGCAGTATGGGGAGAGGGAGGGAGGCGAGGGGGGGCAGCCGCTGCACCGAATTAGCTCGGCGCCTCATTCGCGCCCGCCCGCGAGGCCAGGCGGGCGCGCAACGCCTCCCGCCAAGCGCCCTCGCCGCCCCCGGCTCGCGCCAGCGGCAGCAGGAGCAGCGCGCCCACGCGCGGCAGCAAGGCGGGCGCCCAGCCTGCGCATGATGGCCGAGCAGCCAGGGCCCCCCACCCCGGCGCCGCGCAGCCGAGGCGGCGTGGGCCCTCCAGGATCGCCCGCCGAAGAGCGCCTGGGCGGCCGCCGCCGCGGGCTGCCGCGGTGGGTGCCGCAGAGGCTGCGGGGCCTGCGGCGCTGCTGGCGGCGCCTGCAGCGGCGGCCCGCCGCCGGCAGCCGCCGGGCGTCGCTGGCCTGCGGTGCGCCGGACGGCTGCCCATCGGCGCCGCACCCGGGGCCCGCCTGGCGCGGTGCAGTCGTGGTTGGCCTTGAGTGCCGCCAGCTCCACCGCCGCCGCAGAGCTCGCTGGGCGCCCTCCAGCGCCTGCAGCTGCCGCTCGCGCTGCTGCAGCAAGGCCGGGGCGGGCAGGCGCGCCCGCGCGACCGCGCCAGCCAGTCTGTCTGCCGCCGCGTTGCCAGCGTGGTCCTCCAGGGAGAGCCCCCTCCCCCGCGCCTCCTGCTCGTCCAAGTGGCCCTTGACGCAGCGGGCCCTCAGCCAGTCGGCCCGGCAGTAAGGTGCCAGCTTGTCCCACAGGTCGGCGTGCGACCATGGGCGTTACCCCGCCCTGGAGCGCCGCCACGCCGTTGCTCACATACTTCGAATCCGTGATGACCTCCACCGGCCCACCGGCCAGCCCAAGCGCCTGCAGGGCAGCCAAGAGCTCGGCGCGCTGCGCGGTCTGCTCGCCATCGACCGGCCCCCCGCGCTCCAGCGTCGCGCCAGCAAGGTGCTCCACGCGCGCCCCCCGGCCAACCCTGGCCAGCGCAGGGTCGGCCGGGTGCGCGCAAGCGCCGTCGGTCCACGCCCGCGCCCGTGGGCCCGCGACCCCCGCAGCAACAGCGGTCAAGCCGGCCAGCGCCGGCACGGGGAGCGGCCACATCGCCTGGTCGGCAAGAACCGCCAAGCGCGCGTTCCGCCGCAGGACTCCCGTCAGTGCCGCCTCAGGCGGCAGGCAATCCCGCGCCGCCTCGGGGGTGAGCCCTGTGGCCGCGAAGGCGGCGCGTCGCGCTGAGTCCCAGCGCGGGCAATCCCAGAAACGGTGCTGGGCGTCCTCCAGCGGCGCGCCGCAGTGCGGGCAGCCTGCCGGGCGGCCCCACTTCGAAGCCACACTCTCTGTGACCACGTTGCCAGATAGCACCGTGCGCAGCGCGCCCGCGGCGTCAGCGGCGAGCCGCCCGTGCTGCAGGACCCGCCGGGTGGCCCAGCGGTCGACGCCAGCCGCCACGCGTGCCCGAAAGTGGCCTGGCGCCTGGCCAGCTCCCGGGCTTCTTTGCGAGCCCAAGCCTCCAGCAGCACCCGCCTCGTCGCCTGCAGGCCGCGCTCCTCTGGCCGCCAGCCAGCCGGCGCCTCTGGCACGCCAGCCCAAGTCTCAATGTCGGCCCCCAACTGAAGCGCGGCCATGCTCCTGGCCGCCGCCGCTAGTGGCCCGAAGCCGAGGCCGTGCCCGGCCGCCATGGCCCCCACGGCCTCCCGCCAGAGGGCGGCGGGGAAGCGGCCGCGGCGCATGGCCTTGGCCGCCTGCCACAGAGGCGCCAGGGTCAGGGTCGCGACGGCCAGCGGGTCAAGCCGCCAGCTCGGGCTCAGGACACCGAAGACGATCTCTGCGGAAGCCCGGAGGCCGCCGCGGCCAACCGCATGCCGCGCAGCAGTGCGAAGGGCAGCGAGCTCCCTCGCGGTAGGGCGCCCGCGCGCCGCCCCGTAGAGGGCAGCTGCGGTGCCAGCCGCCGCCCCCAGCATGCAGCGGTGGCCGAAGGCCGCCAGCAGGCGGCCGATCCTGGCGGCGAAACGGACCGCGGCGGCGCGGACCCAGGTCGCCTCCACCGCACAGCGCCGGGCAGGGCCGGCGCCCGCCGCGACTCGAGTCGCGGAATCCGGGCCGCGCTGCCAGCGCGGGGGCCTGCTCAGCCAGCCACCCCGTTGGCGAACTGTCTGCTCTTCCCTCGGTTGAGGCTCCAAGTCTCGAAAGCGCCCGTGACCCTCAGCGCGCCCGCCACCGCCTCGGCAGCATCCGCGGCGTCAGCGAAGGCAACGCGCATCCAAAGGGCGAAGTCGTCCACATATACCCGACGGCGCAAGCGGCTGTCGACACGGGGACCTTGCAGCTCCACGGCCAAATCAAGATGCTCAGGATGAACACCGCCAGCGGGCAACCCGGCAGCAACCCGCAGGAACCCACGCATCCCCGATCCCGCGGCCCACGCGGAGGCGGCGGCGCGCCTGGCAAGTCCCCATCGCCGGCTCGACGATCCAGGCGGGCACGCCCGCGCGCGCAAGGAGGCCCTGGAGGGATGAAAGGCCGACCCCGTCGTAAGCCTTCCGCCAATCAAGCGCCGCCCCCGCCACGCACTCGGACAGCGCCTCGGCGGCCTCCAACTCGAGGGCCAACTCCCACGCCAGCTCCTCCGCTCCTAACCGCATGTCCTCGCCAGCCCACTGCAGCCGCCAGCGGGTAAACACCTGTGCCCTGCCTGCGGACCATAGCCGATAGAGGATGGGGAGCAGCCGAATCGGCCGGCGATCCAGTGGGCTCTCCGTGCTGCCCCCAGGCTTGGGCAGGAATAGCCCCTCAGGCTCCACGAGCTCGCTCGGCCACGCCCCCCTGGCCTCCACAGCTTCGAACAAATCGGCGATCCAGCTGTGGAACGCCTCCGGGAGGAGCAGGAGCTCGCTGATGGTCCAGGCGTATAGGCCCGGCTTTTTCCTCCTGGGCATCTTCCAGAGCAGAGCTTCAACCGCGGCTGCCGTCCATGGCGTTCGCTCTGGGAAGGGAGGGAGACCAACGCCGGCGCCGCCTGCTGCTGCCAGAGCCCACGCCACGGCCCCTCGAAAAACCGCAGCTGCGAAGCCGGCCCCCTTCGCAGGGCGAGCACCCATGACCTCTGCCCCACGGCGCCTTCAGGCGAGGCAGGGGCATCGGCCGCAGGATCAGGAACCATCTCGGCCTCGAGCACGCCGCCGCCGCGGATCCAGTGGTACAGCCAGCCCTGCCCATCAGCAAGGGCGTCCTGGACCCACTCACGCCAAGAG